GCTGCGCGGACAACCGGCGCGGCAGTAAATTGATTGTTTGATTGTTTTCCTTGGGATTGTAGGGAGTTTTCTACCTCTCTGTTCGGTTTTTGTTGTAGTTTTTTACCATGTGGGGTTTGTTTTGTTACGCCTACCTTTCTGGGTGCCTAACCCCGGTCGATGGCAGATAAGGAAAACCCCCAACCATATGGGGTTTTCAAGGGACATTGCTCCCTGAAACCTCTCTGAAGGGGCCAGGTTCTGGCGCTGGTCCCTGGTAGGTCTGAACTCCATAGCTAATGTCCCGGTCTAACATAACACACATTAGCCCGATAAGCTCCAGGGAGCCGTAGGGGCTCCCCCCAGAAAAGCCTGCGCAGAAGCTCCCATCCCCCATACCTGAGAACAAAACCAACTATAAAAGGCAAAGACAGGAGAAAATGTAAAGTCCTGAGAATTGTACTACAATGGAAGTCTACCCTGACAAATCACAGGCAAGACCCAGCCTGGGGAAATGCCTCCAAGAAACACTTCTCTGCAACAGAACCTGACTGAGGGATGAAAGGCCATAGCAGAAAGTACTCTAGAAACACCTTAACCTTAAGAAAAGAAAAGAAAAACCTAAAGAAAAAGACCAGTATTGAATGTAATGAAATGCCTCTTTCTAGATAAGCCCAGGAGGCTTTCAGAAGCTTTGTGACCCATTTGTATTGAGCAATCTCAGCAAGATAGATTTAGCAAGTCACCGAAGGCTAAAAGGGGTTAGAGACCACTCACGCCTCGGAACACGGCCTCTCAACATGTTGTGACAATACGGAGTAGCCAACTTCTCAAATTCATATGACAGAGTACAGGGAAGACGGAACACCATGAGCATAGCTCTCATCCTGTAACTACACTTAGGTAATTATGTGATGCAAACCCAATCCCGAAATGATGCTCAATCAAATGGGCCCCTACAGGACAGTCCTAATGATAGCAAACACTGATCTAGAAATAGTTGGAACCCAAAAGACTGAGGACTCAATGAGCAGTCCAAACTGCTGGAAAATTAGGAGTACAGAATGTTGACGTGGGAAACCGGCAGCTCTCAGTGGTGCTGCTGCCACCTGGTGGTGGCCAGCTGTAACTAGGGGGGGATTTGTCTTAACTGCTAGAAAAATCATTTGCAGAGTTTGATGGGTTGTTTCCTCATTTTCTGTGATCCTTGCAGTTGTCTGTTTTGCTTTGCTGGCTTTCTGGATATTTCTTTGGTGAGGGTGTTCTTCAGATTCCCTGCTTCCTGCACCTCTATGATGGGGAAGGCCCATTTTCAGGCTCTGGTCTCTGTTAGGCTATTAAGGACTTCTAGGGCTGATATGACTCATGTGTTGGGCCATATCAGTGTGGCTAGCCATAAGGAGCCACTATTCAGCCCCCTCCAGCTTGTTTTTTATTTTTATTTTTACCAAACTTTCTGGAGAACAGGCTGGCTTTCTTTATGTAGTGGTCGCAGAATACAGTTACAGTACTCCATAATATGTACAGTTCGATACTAAAATCAGGCTTTTGGGTGAGAGAGATCAGGTGGAGAGGAACTGAGCAGGGCAGCGGGCAGAATATTGGGTTACCGGGTGTGAGGGATCGGGTGGGCAGGATATCGGGTTGCTGGGTGGGACGGATCGGGTGGGTAGGATATTGGGTTGGCAGATGAGAGGGATCATCCAGTAAGGGAGGAGGGATCAGGGATCTGTCTGGTGGCCATGAGTGATTGGATGGGTAGAAATGAAGGATCTAAGAATCAAGCTAGTTGGTGGGATGAATGGGGCAAATGGGCAGGAGGAATTTCAGGAATTGGGCAGACGGGCAGGATTGATTTTTGGGATTGGGCAGGCAGGAGGGCAGGCAGGATTGAACGGACAGGAAAGTTTGGGCTGGTCAAATCGGGCAGGAGGAATTGGGCAGGCAGGTTTCCATTAATCCAACTGCCACAAGCAATTCTGCCTCCTTCCACACATGCTCCTTCTCCGTCCTCCTCCTCCTCCTCACACACGCACACACACAAACACACTACTTTAGCTTTCGTCCCCTCTCACACACTGCGCCGGCCTCCTCTCCCCCATCCCACACACACACACTTCTGCATCTCTCCCCATACAGTCCTCCTGGATTCTCCCGCATACACACTCCTCCTGCCTCCTCCATACACACCACCCCTCTTTCTGTCTCCTCCCACACACACACACTTCACACACACACTTCCCACAGACACTCCTCCTCCTATGTATTGTAATGATGCATATTGCATTATTACAATAAGAGCACACGTTACTGAATTATGCATCATCAGAATGCATGTTAAATAATCACAACTGTCCCAATCACCATATCTTACATACTATACATCAACATAAACATTCATCACTGTAATATACATCACTGACATTGACAAAAATATATAAAGCAATATCATCAAATTTGTAGATGATACCAAGATTTTCAGAAAGGTGGCAGCCAAAAGAGAGCATTACTGTACTGTCATGCAAAATTATTTATACAAACTTAACAAATAGTCTCAAAAGACGGGCAAATGCTCTTTTATATAGAAAAATGCTTCTCTACATGTCGAATACAAGAATGTGCCTCAGTTATCCTACTGAAAATATTGCCTTGCTATCTGTGGAAAAGAGAAGGACCTTCACAAAACAAGTCACCAATCTTTGAAAGCAGCACAACAGCTTGGAGCAGGATAAAAAAGTCAACCAAACTCTAGGAATCATCCAACGTACCTTAAAAATAATGACAAGATGACGCTCATTCAGCTTTACAAATCCCGTGTGCGTCCCCACCTTGAGTACTGTATTCAAGCATGGAGACCACACCTACAGAGAGACATTACATCACTGGAAAAAGTTCAATACAGGGTGACAAAAATCATCCCAGAACTAAGTCAACTTGAATACCAGGATAGGGTAAGGGTCATAGGACTGACAGCTTTTTACAAAATGCACAACAGGGCAGATCTCAGAGAAACAACTTACTGTAGTACCAAAAATTACCGAACAAGTGTGGTTACTTTAACTCCAACCACTATTCAAAATGTTCAATGTGACAAATAGGAGAGGCTACAGATGAAAACTTCTCGATAAAAAGAGCACAACACACACAACAGGAAAAACATTTACTCCTTGAGAGTAATAACCCTTCAAAACAGCATATTTATTTTAACAACATAAGAACTGAGAAACATGCAGGTCTAATAACCCTTATAAGGCAGCAGTTCCTATTTATACCCCCCTCAATCTCATTCATTCATTTATATATTTATGAATGAATGTGCTTGTGTAATTACCTAAGTATAGTTACAGGATGAGAGCTATGCTCGTGATGTCCCGTCTTCCCAGCACTCTTTTCATCATATGATGCTTTGAAACTACTGTACTAACGGTTTTGGCCTCCACCACCTTCCCACTTAACTTGTTCCAACTGTCTATCACTCAGTTTAAAAAAGTGATTTTTTTTTATTTCTTTTGTAGTTTTGTTTAGTTAGCTTAAGTCTATGATCTCTTGTTCTTGAAGTTCCAGGTCTCATGAATTCTTCCTTATAAATTTTGTTGATTCCCCTTATTATTTTGTATGCAATGATCATATCACATTTTTTATGTTCTATTTTCAAGTTTTGGCACATTTAATGCTTCTAACCTCTCCTCAAACTTCTTGTCTTTCATTTTCGGAAGTCATTTAGTTGCATATCTTTGCATTTTTTCCAGTTTGTTGATGTGCTTCTTAAGATATGGTCACCATACAAAATGGGGCATATTCCAACTTTGGTCTCACAAAAGTTATGAACAATTTCTTTAATATTTTGCCATCCATGTATTTAAAAGTAATTCTGAAATTGTAAAGCAATACATAGGCTTCTCGCACAATGTTCTTCTTGTGGTCCTCAGATGGTGTGGGTGTATATGTGTGTGGGGAGTTTGTGATGTGTGTGTGTGGGGGGGGGGGGTTTAGGATGTGTGTGTGTGTCGGGGAGGATATGACCCTGAAAATGACTGCCAAATCATTTAACAACCAGGTACCCATTCACTGCTGGGTGAACAGAGGTTACAGTTAAGGATTGGCGCCCACTAAATCCTCCCCGGCCAAGATACGAACCCTGGCCTTATGAACATACAAACTTCGTAATAGGATACGAAGCACTGGGCGAGTGTTTTACCACTGCACCACGGGGACTGCTAAAGACGGGGTAATATTATTCAATAGTGTGAAATTTGAGTAATTTATATAACTAAATGTGTGGAACATCGCTATGCTAAAAAAATGGTGCTCATATCAAGTGACAGTTTATATTACATTCTCAGATCAATAAAAACTTGTGTTTGCTGTTATTACACTATATCCACCATCAGCCTAGCACCCCGGCGGGTCAGTGGGGAGGGGGCTGTGGCAAATACATTTTCCAAACAATTTGTTAAGAGTGATAATTATATTAATTTGTACAATTCAAACATGATTGTTTGAATTGTACAAATTCAGGGTTTGAAGTTCCAACTACCTTATATATATATATTCATCAACATCCCAACTGTATCAAATATGAGTGAATAAAGTTTTGTCTTCCCTTCTTTATATTTGGCTGTGGGTCCACGGCAAACGTACTTGCATGTATAGATTGAATTGCTAGAAGAGATATTTAATTGTTGCTCGGAGACCAAATACACTTCATATATCTGGAAGTATTTTGTGGACTAGGATAAGAGAGCATAAAAGTCTAAGACTCACCTTGATAAATCAGCTGTAATTAATAATGAACTACATTAACACTTTTGGTGAAACTTATTTTAATCTCCTCAATGATTTTAAATTTAATATAAGCAAAAGAAGACAAATAGGCTACATGTATTTGGTCTGCCTCTTATGCCAAGGTGCTGGAGATAGAAGCATACAAACCTAGATCACAAACCGTAACTGTCACACAATAAAGAGATTAATATTTGTATCATATTTTATATAGTACAATTAGGAACACACACACTTACCAGGATGCATGCCAGGATCACCTTGAGGTCGCACTGGGCGCGTCATGGGTTGGACTGGTCCTGGTACTTGGGTTGTCTGGGTGGAGACTGGAGGTGGAGGACCCACAATACGCTGGTATGGCTGCCGTACACCACCACCGCTATTCAGTATTTGGCCTCCTATTGCACAAAACACTATTAATCCTTCCAATAAAATTTAATATAATTTTTGAACATAGTACACACTATCATAGTGAACAAGCACCACTACACTTGAAACGAATCCTCTGCAGCAGCACCCATTACAAAAAAACCAGCGTTGAATGTAATGAAAAACCAGTTTCAGGGTGAGCCCCAGAGGCTCCCTGAAGCTATCTTACTGATCAAGTGCCATACTATTTGAGTGTCATCAGTCGCAGAGTTCTTCGTAACCCTACCAGGGATTACGAACCAGAACCTGACCCCCTCAGAGAGGCCCAAGAACACTTTACAACAAAACTGAAGTGAAGGGCTCCACCAACTGATCTGTGATCTCCCTAGTGCTGCCTCCTGGCAATTAGTTGCTACTAGCAAATGAATGACCTAACTGCTGGGTGCCTCATTTTCTGAGTTTTTAGATCTGCCTTGCTGTTGTCTTTTTTGTTTAGCTGTACCTTTCTGGTGGCTGAGTTCTTGGTGAGCGTGATCAAGGAGCCTCAGCTCTTGGTGTCTGTGAGGTGGCAAAGTTTTGGCCACTGGTTCCTGGTAGGCTTTTAACGACTTGCGAGGGTGCAACAGGGAGCTGCCATAGGGATCTTTCAGAAAAATCCTACAAATATTTTATAATTACAGTAGTTATCTGAAAATTTTGAGTATCTATACATACTGAAATCTTAAATTTATTACACAAAGAGTAATCACACTATCATCATGCATCAATGAGCAAATCCATAGGAGCCGTGATGAAGGTTCTAACCTATTTGCTGGGTATTCCAGGCACACACACTCTAGACAACTATACCATGACATGATCAAAAGGATTACAACCTGGGGTACTACTGCACCCTCAGAGGTAGAACATTCCTAGATGACAGAGCCAGAGTGCATGGGGGGGAATTGTGTGCAACTCTGGTTTGGTTTCAGTTGAAGCCTCAGGAATCCTAAAGGGTGCAGTAGTACCCAAGGTTGCAATCCTTTTAACCATGTCATGGTATAGTTGTCTAGAGCATGTGCCCGGGAACACCCAGCGCATAGGTTCGAACCCTCATCATGGCTCCTACGGATTTGTTCTTTTAATTTATTTTTTCTAGCTATCCATGATGATTATATTGCTACCAAGAGGGCAATTCTTTATCAGCAAACTAGCCTACTATAAATTATCTACTATGTTTAAAGTGTTTAACAGAGTATGCCACATCCTGAAACTATTATTTTCTCAATGCTAGCACCTGAATGCATAAAATAATATTTGCATTAAATAAAAAATAAAAGTTTTATTTTTAAACCTGTGGGAGCTTTTTAAAATTAATGAGGTAACTAAATTAATAAAACAACCAAACGATTTCTCACATTCAGAGTAATGAGACAATGTCAGGCCACGGAGGAAAATGAAACAGGAATTTCCTTAAGTACTTTCGTAAATTAAATACATCTTCAGAAGGAATACCCTACATCTTCCTTCTGAAGATGTATTTAATATACGAAAGTGCTTAAGGAAATTCCTGTTTCATTTTCCTCCGTGGTCTGACATTGTCACATTCTTAATCACGTGTTTATTTTCGTTTCTTAATCACGTGTTTATTTTCGTGATATACACACATTCAGAGTAATGAATAGTGATAGTACATTACAAATGTACCAAAATCTAATATGGAACCATACCAAAATATATTAACAACCCTTGCATTTCCAAAGTATCTACTGTACTGAAAATAGGAAGCAATATACTATAGTATAAATTATGAAGAATTCATAATATTTTATCTAATCTTGGAAACACAAATAAAAAAATATGAATTATCGTACCAGATATTGGTGGTAAGCCAACTGAAGGGTTTCCAACGGAGAGAACATCAGCTTTGAGTTTCTCATAATCTACGTCACTGAGGTTTAGGTCAGCTGGCCCTAAGGTTTCTTGTTGGTGATGGTTGGCCTTCTGCTGCTTCATCTGCTCTTGCTTTTCTTGTTCCAACAAATCTTCTATTAGCAAGGGCTGTTCCTGCCACAAGAGGAGAGGGGTGAGAAGCTGAACTATAGGCTTCAGAGAAGCCCAAAATCACCTATTAAATTATGAGAATTCTCATTAATTCAGTGAGAAACTGAAATATAATTTATCTGGTTAAAGGTGATTACATATTCACAATAATTCAAACTTGTGCAAACAGCAAATTCCCAGGAATTTAACATTTTAACCCCTTCCATGTGCAGTCAATTCATACACAAATCACAAGAGCTCCACACCCTACAAACATGTTTTCTATAGAAGAAATTAAATTTTCACCCATGTTAATCTTGTTAAATGTGTCTCTTCAATGTACATAGCCGATACAAATTATGGAGATATACATTTTATGCACTATAAAAAAATAGCTTCCTTTAATTAATTTTGTTTTAAATAACTTAGCTTTCTCCAAACCCATAGATATTGAACTATTTTTAAATATGCAATTTAATACAAGTCTATTTAACTTATATGCAAATCTTTTCACTATATCCAAAAATATTAAGGACTAATTTAATGGACCTGTTCTAGCACTTTCATTTTAATTAAAATTTAAAGGAAACTCTGGAATTCTATATACTGTACTGTGCAGTGAAACCTGTTAAACCCGACCTTGAGTTACCCAACTTTAGTTTGCTAGTCAACACTCCATTCAAACATGCAAGATCACGAGTTATACGAGTTCAGCCATGGGTGAGGTACAAAGTTGTTTGTTTTAATTTGTGTAGTTTGCAATTTCTTATGCAGTGGGGACAAAGGTTTTTTTTTAGAATCACTTCTAACATGCAACATGCATGCTTACTCCTTGCTTAGTGCCTTGTGCATAATAGCACCATTATAAGGCGTCCAAAATTCTAGGCTTAAAAACAAATTTAAAATGCACGCCTTGGGCAATTATCTCACTATGTTGTAACTAAACCTTAGGAGCCAATGAGGGAATACAATGTATAAAATTCCAAGAATGATGAAACTAAATAAACAATGTTTATAGGCCCTAAGGGTGTACAGTATTACATATATACACCCCCCAAAAAGGGAAAAAGTGTTGAACAAAGAATGCTTTTGTGGACAGAATTGCAAATGGAATTACAGTAGCAGGATCACATATAAATGCTGACTCCAGAGAATTTCTAGTTGAATTTCATATTAATGGGTAAAAACTGATTTTTGGTACAGTATTTGGATTTTGACTTGTCGGGACTTAGGGAAAATACTGTAGGGATTTTGGCAACAAGGACTATGGCTGTTGGGATTATAGCTGTCAGGATTATTACCCAAACTTGGGATATCAGTCAATGTCAGAGACAATTTTAATATTAGTGTTAAACAAGAATTTAAAACTAAAACAAATACAGAAACAACTTTGATGAAATTAACTCAATATACCAAAAAAAATTAATAGTAGGAATATTTAAGCCACCAAAATTAAATAGTATAGTATACAAGGCAGGTATATCTAGGTCAAAATATTTAGAAATAGGTGTAACTTCTATACTGTACAATAGGTAACTTCAAATGTAGTCAAATTAACTGAACAAATAAAATGAAAGATGTTAAGGGAGAATTTCTTCTGGAATTAGTTGATAACTGTTGTCTTAGAGAATATATCATGGAATAAATACAGGGGGATAAAAATACTTAGTGCTGTCAAAATGTATTATATGATACAAATGATAACTGTAAGGATCATGACAACCACTGTAATAATATCAACAACTGCAAGGATCATGACAACTACTGTAATGATCATGATAAGCACTGTAATGATATCAACAACTGTAAGGATCATGACAACCATTGTAATGATATCAACCAATATAATGATAACGACAACCACTGTAATGATATCAACCACTGTAATGATAATATTAAAGCAGCAAATTTGCACCAATACAGAACATAACCTTGATACAACCCTGACATGCATGATTTGCTTGTTAAGTTATAATAACATATACAAGAGACGCCTGAAATACAGTACAGTATATAGAGTACAACAGATAATACACAACATATTATCAGCTTGTGCAGCGACCTGGATAACAGTGGTTTTCGTGTTCAGTGTGCATATTGTTCCTAACATTAATACGGTACAATGAAAATCTGCCAACCTATTTTTTCTTATGTTCATATCTTGAGATATCTTGAGGTTATCTTGAGATGATTTCAGGGCTTAGTGTCCCCAAGGCCCGGTCCTCGTCCAGGCCTCCACCCCCAGGAAGCAGCCCGTGACAGCTAACTCCCAGGTACCTATTTACTGCTAGGTAACAGGGGCATCAGGGTGAAAGAAACCCTGCCCGTTGTTTCTCGCCGGCGCCCGGGATCGAACCCGGGGGCCACAGGATCACGCGTCCAGTGTTCTGTCCGCTCAGCCGCCGGCTCCCTTCATTATTCCATTTTCCACATGAAAAATGCCAAACAAAACAGCAGCTTTGTTGTATATTAGAACATCTTTCAAAATACTGTATTGTAGTTTACATCTGAACTTTTGTAAGTTTGACTTATATCTCTAACCAGAATGGCCTTCTATTTTCCTCTTTCATTTATATATTCTGTATATATAAATTATTTTCACATTTATCTTTTCTATATATCCACATAATATTCTTTATTAGCCAGCTAGCTGTCACTCAAATACTTTCCATAACTTTGTTAATTTATTACATCATTCACTTCCTTTCACTTTCATACTCTTAATAAAACCAAACTAAAATACCTGTAATTAACTTATTGTTGCATTACAGTCCTAACTTTAACGTCTAAGTGTATTTCCAGTTGCACTTCCAATATATATAAACTTTCGCGAGCTAAATACTAATAAACAAAAATAAAAAATAAAATTTTTAATTTGTTGAGTATTTTTCTATAGTTACTATTCATCCCATCATCCTGTTTAGTTAGTACTTATAGTACTATAGCCCATCTATAGTATATAGTATAGTATATACTATATAGTCTCTTTTATATAGTACTGTATATACTATATATACTATATATGTACTATATGTACTATACAGTATAATTAAGCCCATCATCTTCTTTAGTTAGTACTTATAGTAACGATGAGAACCATAGTACACATATGACGTAATGGACAATTAGAAAGTGGAAATTGTTACTATTGAATTTGGACAAACTGGGAAAGGTTTTGCATTGATGTTACAAAGACAACCTAAACTAACCTAACCTTCCTAGGCCTAATACATGCTATATGAGGCCTAATATAGTACATATATATGTGCTATACTCGGACTATAAAGTGAATAGCACCAAATTCTACTATCTAATTGCCCTTAACGTCAATGTTTGTACCGTGGTGCGCATAGTTACAAAATGTACTATCTAAACAGGTGGAGGGTCGCATTATTTTATCTGCCACTGTACCAGCATTTGTCCTGCTTACCTAATTGTAGCTCAACAACTATATGATCTTTGCTACACAATTCATACATTAATATGAATACTTTTTGGTATACAGTACAATCCATACATCAATATGAAGAACTTTGCTATAAAATGCTTTTATATATAATGAAAAGAAATTACATTCCTCTGTATTCTTGTTCAACTTATATCTAGCTCCTAGTTAACTCAAAGGAAATTGTAAAATTCAAGAATCTTTACAATTCATAAATCATGCAGTTAAGTGTATTAAAACCATAATTAAGAATAATTAATATTCAAACTACCATTACAACACTACTAAAAAATGCACTTCAACGCTGCACCAAACAGTATCCGAGTAAGGTCTCTCAGCTTTTGAGACACAAACACGTTACACACGACTACTCATGGAAGAGGCTATAATAAAAACCAACAGTAAGCAAATAAATTGCTGAAAGTGGCCAATCCATAAACAAAATAAGTACTAAGACAAATTTTCACATTGACTTTCCCCCCATCAAGTCAAAAGTGTCAACCCTCAAACCAGACAGTTAGTACATTTGAGGTTAAATGCTTCTAAAATAATCAACTTTGCACTAAAACCAAGACTACTTTGACCACACTGTGTTGGAGACTTTGCATGATACCACAAGGGACTCAGGAGTCAAAAAATTCATGTATAGATCTTTCAATTCCAAATAATCAATGGAAAACACTTTTAATTATTTTGTATATGATTAAGAAATATTTTATTTATCACTGTAATACAATTCAAAATTAAACTTTAAGTGCACAAAACTTATTAAAACAAGCTATTTAATTATTCAAATTAAATAGAAACTGGAAATGGCACTTACCTTGCATGGAATCTACCATGTAAAACTTATATTCAAGAAGTTTCTTATTAAAATTAGTAATAAATTGTAATTCATATTAAAATATCTTCAGGGTTTTAGAGTCCATTTTTCTTGAAATTGGAATAATATAGCCTTTAATGCTTTTATTTCTACTACTACTACTGTTGTACATATATATAACAAGCCTTTAAAGCAGAGAGTTTGAACATGAGGCTATGCTGTACTGCACATGAAAAATAAATATAAAATTTTGAATAAAATAATGGACTCTAAGCAAAATATACAGTTATACATATATGCAAATGCCTATCAGAAAATGCACAATGTAGGTTTAAAAGTTAACAATCCTAATAAGTATGCATTCTTTTAGGCATGAAAATTAGTTTAAATAACCAGGCAAAATGCTGTAAATAAAAAAGAAAAAAACCATCAAGCTACACATCCCAGAAGCATGAAGCAACACGTGAACAAGTGAGGGAATACTAACATCTCAACAAAAATAAAAGTTCAGTTTCAAGTTAAAACAGTTATTAGCTTCAGTTGTGCTATAGTCCTTCCAGGTTAGGATGATGAGCATTCCCTCACATTATATATAAAAGCATCACAGGGGGCATAAAAAGTACACAAGGATCCTAGAAAGAAGGAATTTGGCTACTGTACAGTATGGAAACCTGATAAACGTTTGGGTGATAAAGACAGCACAAGAAATCTAGTACAGTACCATACAATGGAACCCCCACTCAAACAGGTTGATCTGTTCTGAACACCCACCACTGTAAAAGGGATTTTCTTTGCATCCGAAATTTGCTGTTTAGCACCAACATTTATTATTTTGTTTTAAATGCTGTAGTTCAAAATACAGTAGAACATATTTTTGTGCATAGTATGATACCAAAATCACTTAGAAAAATAATTTTTAAAGTAGAAAAAATATTTGCTGACTTTTTAGCACCATTTTAGTCAGTGAAATATGTGGACCCGCTCGAATGAAACTTGTCTGATATATTTGAAGGGTGCAGCACCCTGCAGCATTTGCCGGGTCCCTGGGCCCCCTGCAGTTGGTCAGTTGCCCTGACTCTGCCTACAATCTGCTGTTGCCAGGAAGGTTCTTGCCTAAGGAAGCAATTAAGTACCATAGTTCACATAGAATAAATTGTGGAAAAACAGCAAAAGATGGTTGCAACACAAAATCAAATGCATCAGAAGAGTCCAGAATCAACTGTCATTGATTATTGAGGTGCCCAGTACAGTACTTGTATGAGGGTACAGGGAACAGTATAAATATATTAAAACTGTAAATATTTATTTAAAATACTGTACAGTGAATTCCGACTTCAATCGAACCCATTCCAAAGATAGATGGAATGTATAGGAAGAATTTATATCCAGCTATATATAGTTGGATGCAAAACAAATGACATCCAGGCCATCAAGAAACTTCCCCTGGACTGGGCTTAAAGTGTACCAATAAATGTAAGCAAATAAAATATTATTTATGTAATAAGATTAGTCAAGAAAAAAAGACAATGATGGGATAGGGACAACAATGAGAGATATTACATAATATGAAGCTTTTATGGACAAAGTAAAAAATTGCAATAGGATGACACGTGCATGGGAAAATGGGAATGTCAGATATAGACATGGGAGAATTTCAATAGTAAAGAGGAGACTGAGAGTTACTGAAGAAAGTATGTTAAAAGGCCAATTGGTTAAAGTGATGAAAAAGGTGCAAATGTGAAAAGGATTTCATTTGATGGTGTGAGAAGAATGAAAGATCATGTGCCAGCTAACAGACTATACCATGTAAGTGATGAGAACATCAGTAAAGATCCTGAAAAGCAGAAATCATCGGAAATTTATGAGGTTTATATATGCAGAAATCATTCAATGCAGTAGAGAAGGCATGAAATATGATACTGCCCAAGAGGACTGCAAGAGAGATGTGACTGTACCACTACATAAAAATGGAATGCAGGATAATGATTGGAAGAGTACAGAAAATCACAAACAAAAAATTATCAGTGATGAACAAGATGGATTCCATGGTGGGTGAAGGTATGCATATATTTACACCAATACAGCTTATAGGTCAAAGCAAGAGAGAAAGAGTGTGAGCGCGTGGACAATTATGGACTCTGATAAAAGCCTAAGACAAAATTAACAGAGAAGGACTTTTTTTTAGTGTGATAATCATGTATGGAGTTTTGATAGCACTCTCAAATTCTAGAAAAGCTTTTTATGGAAGGAAGTTGTGCAAATGTAAGAGTTAAAAAGAGGAATGAATGCCTTGCTTGATATTAAGGTAGGTGAATGTAAGGGTTTTGTGATGTTACCCTGATTATTCATTATATACATGGATAGATGAGAGAGATCAAGGTATGAATATTAAGAGAAGCTTGGTTACCTAAGTGCACAGACCTATCATGGGTAACTGAAGTACAGTATTAAAAATTTGATATATGCATATGGCAATTATTTTAGCAGAGAATGAAAGCGTTATGTAGACTAGTTTCAAATTGTATTTAAGTGCATGAAATAAATCATGCGTGTGCTTTAAATGTGAATTGTGAAATGCTGAAAGTGGTAAATAATTTAAATACTAGGATGTGTAGCTGATAAAAAGAAGAATTTTTGCAATAAAAGTTGTAAATAGGGCAAGTACGGAACAAAAAGTGGCTGATGAAATTTTAAGTCCTAGTTATATCAAACAAGACAGAAACAGATGTGGCCAGAAGTCTGCACGAGTAGCAATACCGTCTCTTATTTACAGCTGTGTGATGTTTGTTATCGGTTTGGTATCAGCACGAAAATTCTAAAGTTAGAGCAATATAAACTGACAATCTTGAAAAGTATGCATGGTGTTTGAAAAGATAAAAGTAAGGAATGGAAATGTCAAAAGTCAATAACTTGCAAAGATTGTGGTAGCATAGATTGTGGAAGAGCAACCATGAAATGATTGTGAGCAAAGCACAGAATATGTTAAGGCACAAGCTTGGGTGGAATCAGTTTGTAAGAAGGGAACGAATGTATGCTATATGTATGTTATATACAGTATATATATTGTACACTACACTATATAGAGTACATGACAATACACACAAGGAGTACTGTACACCTGGTCTTATGAAGTAGTACAGTGCTACTGAGGATAACTGATGAAGTGTAGTGGCTCTTATTGATCTGTGATATAATGGATGAAAATCAATATTTTTATATACAACTACCTTTCACTATATTATTACATTGTATCTCCAGGTTGATGCCTTCCCACCCAATGGAAGTGGGAATAGGGTCATCACAATGTATGATACAAATTTACATTTTTTTCCCAAGTGAACCTGGAATCAAAGTCTGCAGAAAGTGTATTCTATATTTTGCACCATTAAAAACAAAATAATTGTGGTGAATAAATGGAAGTGAATAGTGATAATTGGATACAACGGAAAGATCGGCAGTAAAAGAACGTGTGAACCAATCTTTCTATTCAAGAAGCATTCCAATGAATATACCGGTAATTTTCATTATTGCAATGTATTTTTATTTATCTAATTCTAAACAATATGATAAAAGCCTCCAAGTTGCTTATTTTTTCTTTAGTGCAGTCATTCATTATCTTAATTTTTTAAAATTTCCTAACGAGATATATTTTTTTATAATTTGTTGGTATGTATTAAATATACTATAAACAGTATTTTATTAAATGTTAAAGTTTCATTTTTTTATACTTCCTTGGATATACAGTTTAATTTTTTATACTTCCTTGGATATTCAGAATGAGATATTGATATCTGTTCTCCAAATTTAGAGTTATCCCTTATTTCATTTTCTTTATTTTTAAGAATTTAAGGGGATACATTAGTAAATATGGGTGATTGACGAAAGATACTAAAATGGTCTCAAACTTAATAGTGTATTTTTACTAATAATTTTGGGTGTGATAGTGTCACATTCTCCAAATCATTTTTCATGACTTTCATATGTAATAACAAGACTTGGATCATTTTATTAGATAATAATGACCAGGAATAATATCAAATCTTGGTAATTAAGTGGGACTAATAAGCAGAATCCAATTCTTATAAATTTCCATAGTGAAAATGGCAATCGATATGAGACTTCATCTTAGGGTTAATTAACTAAGATGAAGAAAAAAGTCGGAGCAAATACTTGATGTGCTTGATGTTGGAGCAAATACTTCATACTGTACTGTACTTGCAATTCTAAAAATACAAAATTTTCTCGTAAAATGACTAAATCTCATGTCTGACATTCAGATTTTAGATATTAAAACATTAAAGGCAAATTGCATAATTCAATTAATGTGAATAATGCATAAAATTATCAAAATTTACCAACATAAAAATTAGTTTTATTCAATTTGTGCCATTTGAAAATTAACTAACAACTTCAAAATGCAAATGGCAAATATTTGCTCAAGCTGAAACGTTTATGAACAAACTTAATTGCCACCTAAAATATAATACAAATATTGAGCTTTTTGACTGTGATTCCTCCATTAAAGCTCAGTAACTATTAGCTATGGTACATGGGAAAACTACAAATACTTCTAATAGTGAAATGATGAAAACTACTTCTGTACCATACTAATAGTACAATTACTGTATGCTACTAAATCACCTACACCAACCCATGGCAATAGTCTTCACTAGTACTGCATGAAGATCCAATAGCTAAAAGGGTAAGGAGATCTGAGGTAACTATATGAGGCACTTAATCCTGTAAAAGGCAAATAAAGTTCTAAAATATGACAAAAGTGTACCATAATTAGCCAAACACATTGGTGAGAGGTGGTCATGTGGAACAACACATTGAGAGCAGCAGCAGAGAAAGGCTGGACATCATGGAAGAGCTGTACAACATGGTTTGGGCACTGGAGAAGGATGGGGGACAACAGCCATGGTGGGTGCAACAATTAGCGCAGCCGGGTGCTGTTAGTCTCACCTGCAGTAGTAGTGGTCGCCTGAGTGGCTGTGGCGGCAGCATAGGCCCATGAGGGCCATGAGGGCCTGGTGGACCATGGGGGCCATGAGGGCCGGGTGGACCCATGGACGGTGGCCCTGTGGGCAGGTGTGGGTGGCCCCCGGGGGGACCATGAGCCATGTGTGGAGGCAAGCGAGGCCCACCCATCACCACTGAGGGTCCTGGACCCATCAAGGCTGGGTGGTGTGGGCTGGGCCTCATCATGGGTGGCAGTGGTGGCCCCCCGACCCCCAAGGGGGATCCCACACTGCCTGCCATGGGTCCCCTCACCATCAAACCCTCACTCACCATCACCTGGGAGGTAACCCACCACCATTACCACCACCTTCACCACCACCACTGTCAACTGCCAGACCCACACAGTAAACCAACTTCTACACAATAGACAGACTTTCTCACTGTTTTTTTTACTAAATGTTAAAAGTATTTTATTATATTAAATTATTGGACATGAAGGCATTATCCACTTGGAAAATATTGGAATGAAGTAATTTTCTGTGTGTCTGAAAGTAGAATACTCAAAACTACTGCAGTCTTTACATATCCTGGTTAATAAGAAAACTACACAATCATGCCTTAGTATCATCTAATACTGTTAATCTTTATAGACTGAGTAAATGCATTATCACAAAGCATAATTCCATAGTAAAGAGGTTACTTAACTGCTAAGAGTAAAGAATCTTAATACATTATAGCATGGCATTCCTACAACTTAAAGTAAAAAGGGGCTCAAAAACCTGAGAAAAGATATACAAGACCATAACCAGATCTACAAATAGCCACAGATTTTCCCATAACAGAAGAAGCAAAGAATTCTTAATTCAAGTTCAGTATTAATTATGGAAATACTTTATTTAAAAAATGGTTTCATGAATCCTTGTAAAGTTATACTGTAGCAAAGTTTAAATAAAATAAATAAAATGCATTGGCATCATATGGAGTCACTATAAAGAAATGTTAATTTTTATCAAATCTAGTGAATGCAATGAATCCTCTTTAAAACTACTACTTCAAGGGTAATATTTGGAAAAGCAGTAGTAGATATACATAATGCACACCTACATGTGGATGTATTTACCTAAGTGTAGTTACTGGATGAGAGCTACACACACATGGTGTCCTGTATTCCCAATACTCTGTCAGATCATCCTATAACATTACTGGCAGTACTGGAATCTACTGCCTTCTCGCCTAACTTGTTCGAACCGTCGTCCATTCTACTTGGAAGAGCTAGGTTTCTAATTTTTTTTGGCACCTTCGTTTCCTTAGCTTCAATCTATGACCTCCTGCTCTTCACGGCACAGATTTCAAGAATTCCTTAGTCAATTTAATTGATGACTTATTATTTTGAATGTATGTGATCATACTGCCTCTCTTTCTTCTAGCTTTAGCATACAGTATTTAATACCTCTGGCATCCTAGATCTCACTGTCCATGTATTCCCACATATGGGTTTCTGCGAGAGCTTCAAATAATGCAATTTCCTCTGAGGAGCCATTTATGAACAGTATTTTATTTTTTACTTTTGTTTTTAGTCCTTGTACGTTGGCAAATATAAATAAGGTGTGTCTACTTGATGGTTAACTGGGAGGTTTTTTAGTGAAATCTATTATTTGTGGGGCATATTAGATGTGTTCTGAAATATACTTGTTGCTGCAATGCTGTTGCCTGTTGTAGTTATAGCTCTGTTGCAGGGTGTAGTAGTAGCTATGACTGGTGGGCGTATGGTTACTCTAGTAGTTCCCATACTGTGTATTCCCTCTGATCCATATTTTGAAACCTCTTTCTTCTGGCTCTAAAAATTATTTGACTTTTTTCAAAGCCATTTTCCTGTTTGTCACTCTTTCAATAGCAGTCTGTGCCTTTTATGTGAAATTTTGGGCAGTATGGGTCATAAAGTTTTCTTTCAAGTGAAGTTTTGCATTATTGTACCTGGATGGAAATACCTATATGTTGATCCACAACAACATTTTCCCTTCCTAAGTAGATTTAGGGATTTTATGGGATGAGGATAACTGCAATCTAATCCCCTTTTCTTTCAGTTCTGGAAGCCATTTTGTAGCATGCCTTTGCACCTTTTTAGTGTGCATGTGTGTGTGTAACTGCCTAAGTGTAATTACCTAAGTGTAGTTACAGGATGAGAGCTATGCTTGTACAGTTCTGACTTCCCAACACTCTTTGTCATGTAACACTTTGGAACTACTGATGGTTTTGGCCTAAACCACCACCTCACTTAAATTGTTCCAACTATCTACCACTCTGTTTGCAAAAGAAAACTTTCTAATATTTTTTCTACACCTTTGTTTCCTTAGCTTGAATCTGTGTCCTCTTGTTCTTGAAGTTGCAGGTTTCAGGAATTCCTGTCAATTTGGTCAATTGTGTGTGTGAGTGATTCGCACACAGATATTCACATTCACAGAGAATGAAAAGAAAATGTGCAAAACACTGAATGAACAGTTCCAAAGTGTGCTTGTGCAAAATGAGGTTTTCAAAAAAACCAATACAATGCCTATTTCAGAGAACACCATAAAGTACATAAAGGTGTCTCGAGATGAAGTTTAAAGATTACTCAAGGAGCAAAGGAGACCAGAAGGCATGGTAGGATGTGCAAAATAGCTCCACAGCAAAACAGAGATGCAATAGGCACGATGATAGAGAACTCGATCAACGTTAAAGGTCCAAGACTTTTCAACACTTTTCCCTACACATATGGGGCATAACTGGCTACCCTCTTGCAATGTTAAAAAGAGAACTTTCACACACCTTCAAACGATATCTGATCAACCAGGCCGAGACCCATATGTCTGGGTGCAAGCAGATGTATCGAACCGCCTGGTTGATCAGACCAGCAACCAGGATGCCTGGTCAAAGACCAGGCCATGGGGACGTTGATCCTCGGAATCATCAACGGGTATGTAGACCAAAATAGAAAATGCAATGGTTGTATGGTGCCCATATCTCAACAAGCACATCATTAAATTGGAAACGGTGCAAAGGCATGATATAAAATGGCTGCCGTGACTGAAAAAATAGGATAGGCTTAAGGCGTTAAATATACCAAAGGTAAAAGATTGAAGAAAAATTGGCGATATGATCATTGCATACAGAAGAGTAACAGGAATATAAAAAATTGACAGAGGAATTCTTGAAACCTGCACCTTCATGTACAAGAGGCCACTGATTGAAGCTAAGTAAACCAGTGTGCCAAAAAATATTAGAAAGTTCTCTTTTGCATAGTGTGGTAGACAGATGAAACAAATGAGAAGGCAGTGGATGCCAAAACTGTCAGTACAGTACTGTAGTTTCAAAGCATCATATAACAAAGAGTACTGGGAAGACAGGACATCATGAGCTTAGCTCTTATCCTCTAAGTACACTATGCTAATTACAAAAGCAACCCAACAAAACCATTAGAGGAAAGAGGAGTGAAGGGCAAAGGAGGAGGAAAAATGACATAATACAGTTTAAGAAGCCAGATACTGTTGTACTAGCAGTGATCAAACTGGAATATTAAATTTTAATTGAGATGGTATTCACGATGGAAACACTATTTGGAGAATTAATACTTGACAACCCACAAGAAATCAACACAGTGGCACTGGTGATCTGCAATCTGGATGATAAACTGATAAAACATTATTGCCTACATTCACCAGCAAAGCAATGCATAGACTAAGGAAAAGCTACATGACAAAAGAGAAGACCTTCTACTGATCATGAGCATGATTAGAGTAAGAGCCGATACATATCAATCATAATTGTTGACACTAGTGACTTCAATTTGAAACCAATATACTAAGAAGTTTATGAAGGAAGAAGAAAACCTTAGGACCAGCCAATTAATAAACCTTATCCTGGAGAATTTCATGTATGAACATGTTAAACAGGCTACAAGGATGAGAGAAGGGAATGAGAATCCAGCCATCAAAGCTGGATTTATCATTTACCAGGAAATAAGACAAATTTGACATTCAATTCCTTCTTCCATTAACTAAGAATGACCATGTTCTTTAGAAAATAAAATATGCATTGCATTATAATCTAGAGGAGAATGGAAAGAGAGATATAGTGGAAAACGATTTCAAGAAGAACTTATGAACAGGAACATATGAAGTTCTTAAATGAATTTGATTGGAAAGATTTGTTGTTAGGTAAGAAAGTTAATGAGACAAAGGAAAAATTGAAAATTATACGATGAAAACACAACAAATTTATACCAAATTAGATTAGCAGAACTAAGAAAAGAGGATTGGTTCAATGGAAATTGCAAGAGGGCCAGAGAATAATCAATATAGGAAGCGGGCCAAATCCTAAAACACACTAACAATATAAACAAGCAAGAAACAGCTATATGGCAGTGAGGAGAGGCAGAAAGAAACTTTGCAAATACTGCAGTTCAATGGGCAAATGTAAAACAGACCCTGGCTTATTCTATAAAATTATTAAATGCACGTTTCATGTAAAGGATAAAATTCAGAGGTTGAGATAATGGGCAACAGATTCCCAAAGAATAGAAAGTAAATATGTGAAACACTAAATAAACAGTTCCAATGTGTTTTGTGCAAAATGGGCTTTTCAGAGAACCAGATACAATACAGATTTCAGAGAATCTGCATTGCATCTGGATCAACTTCATCTCTAGACACTTCTATGTACCACAAAGTACATAGAAGTGTCTAGAGATGAAGTGGAAACAATTATCAAGGAGCTAGGTAGAAACAAAGAAGTTGGCCCAAATGGAATTTTCACTTTGGGTTCTGAGAGAATACACACCCAAGCTGAGTATTCCACTTCAAATGATTTTTTAGGCATCTTTATGTACAGGAATGTTAGCAGGAATATGGAAAAAGAAAAATATAGTTTCCATGTAAAAAATTTGGCAGTAGAGAAGATGCTCTAAATTATTGACCTGTATTGGTGACATGCTTGGTAATCAAAACACTAGAAAAAATAATTGAAATGAAATGGGCTTTTTTTTATTCAAAAGTAAAATATGCAGTGGTTGTATGGTGCCTCTACCTCAAGAAGCACATCAATACACTGGAAAAGGTGCGAAGACATGCTACTAAATGGTTTCCAGAACTGGAAAACAAGAGCTATGATGGTAAACCAGAGGTGTTAAATTTGACAGAGCTAGAAGATAAAAGCAAGAGATGATATGATCAATACATAAAAAAAAAAATACAAAAGGAATCTACAAAATTGACCAGAGAATGCTTGAAATCTGCAGCTTGAAGAACAAGAGATTAAATTCAATCTAAGGAAACAGTGCTGAAAAAACCTAAGAAAGTTTT